CCTGATGATGGAAGCAGTACATTTACGACACGCCTATTAACTTCTAACAGACTACACGACGTTAATCCCAGAAGACAGTACTTTACTGGGAATGATGGGTATCTCTTTTGCGTCACGTCCAGATATGTCGCCGTTTCTAGGAATGATTCGCTGACGTCATCACTGTACATACTGTCATGAGAATCTCCAACCGAAGCAGAACAATTCTGATTTCTCATACTGTAACCACGAACTCAGCAAACGAAGGTTACGATTCATATTAACGCATCTGAAAGGCGTTTGGACTGTGGAATTCTCCGCTTCCCGAGTAGGGACACAGACGATCTATACTTTGCACTAAATAAATTTAGTGAAGACTTCTATTTGCTGGGTTATAACGCTGTGTATTCCGTTGTAAGTAAAAGAAAAAATTAATGGACTACACGACGTTAAATAGAACTCTTCATAACCTCCGCCGTAGCAACCTCATATACTAGAAAAAATAGTTTTCGCACTACACCACTACACCACAGAGGTGGTCCATATCAAGGAAAACACAAACTTGTCGTTTCCTTGTCGCACCTGTAAAGAACGTAAACCCCATATCTGACAGGATGTTTTCTGGACATCAAAGTAAGAAAAAAATATAAATGGTTATGTACACTGAGGGCCTTCCTTAAAGAAAGTTTGAATCATTAGAAAATGTCTGCTCCTGCCGTCACAATCTGAAAAACAGACCTCCCGAGAGGCATTATGATTGTATTGCGTGATGTAATGGTCGTAGGGATTCATTTGATGTCTGAGAGGACCTCTCAATTTACTGGCGTTTTACTATTGCAGGATTTGTCCTTCAATGTGGTTCTCCAGAAGTGGTTTCGGTACATGATAGTCCGGGAGTGTGTCAATACAAACTCAAAAGAAAAACAGAAACTCCGTAGCCTGTAGTCCGCAAGCGAGCTATACCGACCAAGCGACCGCCGCTTGTCGGCGAAGTTAGTGCCAACTTTATGCGGATAGAGGGAAGGAGGGAGTGTGTCAACAGCTTTCCGCAAATTATGCTGGGCTCTGGACCGGTCGTGGCCGTGACGCTACAATTTCCTGACCTCCAGGTTTAGCTGACATCAATATTCTGGACGAATTTGAAAATCAAAGTCTATGCCAGCCAGCACATTTTGGAAGTGAAATAAACTACCCCTTCCCCGTAAAAATTCTTCTATGTTCCGTTCTCGTTACATTTCTGCGTGTTAATAAGACCTTGTTGTAAGAGGGTATTCATTCGTCCCTTTACGACACACGTGGTGCTTCTTTTGACGTCACAACATATTCTAAACGTGCAGGTAATGAGCATGATTTGAATTCGGGAAATAAACAGTTCGGATGGCTGAGGCTTTCGTGATCTTCCTCATTCATACTTCCCGAAAGCAAGTCTGACAAGTTGCTGTTGTACTGCCCGCTCTGATTATTACATGGTCCAGACAAATACCTGCTAGAAAGAAAACAATACGATGCACTAGACACAATCCCCATAATACTCGTATATCATCTGAAGAATGACGTCACAGATAATTAGAAGCTGCGCCTGCTCTTAAAGTGAAAAAAAAGGCTCACGGAATACTGTAGGTTTGTTATGGAAGTGTTATTAAACTCACAACTATTTTGGACAATTCCCACTTTCCAAGTTACGTACTAGCTCTACCGAAGCAGCACCAGGATTCATATTTTCATCTGACGACAGAACCTGAGTCTGTTTCCGATGCGTTGCGTGTATTTAACAAAATCCAAGACCATAGAAAATAACCAATACATGTGTCACTCTAAAGGCGCTTCCACATTCCTCATGCTCGCCAGGCTTCTGCTGCCGGAAGACTGGTCTGGCTTTTACTTGTGCTCGTAAATCTTCGTCCACACTACTTCAGTTGCTCGCCAGGCTTCGGCGCGTGAGGATCCGTATATTTACTCGCAGTGTGTATAGGCTGTAGTCGTATTTTAATTTATTAGCTATAGTTATTAAATTAAAATTTTAAAATTTGCTTGTCTCGTGACTTGTCATATCGTCCACATTACTCGCGAGCCACACGAGCACGAACACGAGTAATGTGGACGCACCTTAACATTCAGCGTGCACAGACATGAACTGCTAAAACGAGGTAATTTCCGTAATCTTTATACTTCGAAAGAATTTAGGTACCGTTCCATACAGAAGTAGTTCACTCTGAACTCCATTTCCTAAACCAAGTTCAGAGCCACTCTTGGGACACTGTAAACTCTGCAATACTTAGCTACTGGTATTTAATACTGGATCCTTTGCGTAATTTCAGGCAATCAGTATCTTCTCCATCCCTATTACAAATTTAAGTCAGTGACCAGTCACATGGGAGCGGCGTGACGTATTGGAGGTTACTGGAGATGAATAGGTTATCTAAAAGAAATACATATTACATACTATTCTCCGTGGTATCCCCTTTCTTTGGATGTACGCACGATAACCTCCTATGTAGCGCAACATGTTTTTAATATACAGAAATGTTATGGAAGCTTCATTATACTTATAGACCTTTGCACGGTTAGTTATAGAAATTACACTGTTTATTGCTTGTAAAGTAGTAGGAGACAAGAACAGATCTAATGAGGAAAATACACATTAAATTGTAATCAAATGTCGATTGTATTTTTCTCTTTCCACAAAACCGTTTCCGCGGTTCAGAACTAATACTTCGTTTGAAATTATGTAGGCACTTCTATCGATGACCCGTTATTCTCCATTTGCACTTGCATTTCCAAAACTTTTTTTTAGAATCCCTTTAGACGTTTATTCTAGCAACACTACTCTAAAATTAGAAGCTGCTGATATAAAACAGACACCGAACAAAAAAGGAAGAGCAAGAGAACGAAAATAAAGTGTAACGCTTCTTTTCCTGGACTGTACCTGCGATTATCGACATAACTATAACATTTCATCGGCGTAAAGCCTTGGATTTATCTGAAGTGCACAGTTTTTACGAATTCATTCATTTATCAATGCTTTACAGTCCTTTGTTGGGCCCAGGACTGTAGGGTAATCTTTTATACATAAATGGTAGGACTCCTTGGAAGGGGGATCAGCCCGTCGCAAGGCCGCTACCTACACACAGAACAAAACAAACACAGAATAAACGCACACACAAACATCCATGCATTGAATGGGCTTCGAACCCACGATCCCAGCGTTCGAGAGAGCGAAGACAGTTCATGCCTTAGACCGCGCGGCCACTGAGATCGATCAGTTTTTATGAACATGCATAATAATTAATAATAAAAAACAGCATGTTAACTTTTTAAATTTTGTTCATCTCGCTTAGATGTTGGTTTCTCAATGTTTTATTCATACTATGAGTTCAAAATTACTGCTTATTTTGGATTTTATGCTGTTTCATTAACACAGGTTATCTCAAATTTCGTGGCATCGCAACCCCCTAAAGCATCTATATTCCATCTTGCTGATTTACTAAAACAACACGTTGATACAAATCATCATCATCAGTAATCTGTCAAGATGACAGGTCCACAGTCTCTTCCAAAACAGTTCCTCCACTTGATGCGATCTAGAGCTTTCTCCTTCAAATAAGAATATCCTCTTCCGTCCCCAAGGTCATCCAGCATCTTCTTACGTCTTCTTCCTCGTCTTCTGATACAAATACAGCTTAAATAATTTTTTATAATTCGGTGAGCCTCCCATAACACATTGCGATCGGCAGTTTGGCTACCATTCATTCACGTATTAGACAAGGCCGCTCCTGGATTTTATAGAATCATCCCGGTAAGTTTCAATTCAACAACTTTTAATTAGCTAATTAAGTTTACGAATATCCTTGGTCAACGTTCTTTCCAGCATTTGGTGTTCTTCCTTGTCTCTGAATCAGAAGAACGTTAGGAGTATCTGAGGCATGAGTCCACCGTCCGCGGGCTAGTGCGTCCTACATATAAAACAGAGTCATTACTTTGGAAGAACAAATCAACGATATAATTTAATTTTTGTCCATTATGAGACAATACTAACATCCACTTTAGACGAAGGTTTACTCTCTACGAGAACATTGTAACCGTGGTAACGTTTCTGACTTGTATTCAAAGGGCATTCTCTCAAAATCCCGCTTGTGGCGCCTATTATCGCAAAATATTTTACTTCTCTTCAGATCATTCAGCATCTTCCAACTTCTGGCCATTCAGTTGAATTCCGGGATAGTACCTTCCAACTGGCTGCACTTCTTCACCCTCTCACATAATTCAATGTTACTTCTTTCAGAAAATCCATTGTCGTATATAACCAAAAATAAGTGAATACACGAACAACAGAAGAGTAAAACGGAGACGTTTCTGTAATCACTAGTAACATGGACGCTCATCATCATATCAGAAACAAGTGAACGTCAAGTCTCTGAACCTCTACGTAAAAAGCAGCAAATGACTAAAAAACACGCTACGATTAATGCAAGGAATTATATAGAAAACCTTTACAGAAGGTGTTCAAATGAATTCCCATATGTCCAGGTATGTTGTAATCACAGCAATGGATGCACCTTCCATGGGGGTGCACGCAGTTTTCCAGCAAGGGACAGTACGTATAGGTAAAAACTGTAAGCATTACAATGAATATTCAGACGTAAAAATTTTTCAGACAGAACTGTGACAAAAAAAAAAATTACATTTCATGTTCACGTCCTTGATACTCTTTGCAGTATTTGTGATATGCAGCATAAAATGTTAAAATGGACTAATGAACACATGAAAGTACTGCTGTTAAAATGCAAACTTTAGCACTTTTTCTACATACATAGCTTACGTTCACTTAGTTACATACAGCCAACAACAAAACGGGGCAGACGTGTAAAATATGATCACCGAGCAAGCCAAAATTCCCGCGGTTTTTATCACGCTGCATTAAGTTAACCAACTTGATATACTGCAAAAAGAAAAGATTAGGACAGAAAGCAGAAGCGTGAACGCCGTACTATCAGAGGGTTCTACTTGAGAAACATACATACCTTCCTTCCGTTCACATAAAATGTTAGGGTTGATTCCGTTTTAAGTATATACTCCCTCATGATCACCACCCTTCTTCGCGACTTCAGCTAATGCAGCTCTGTCACTGAACGGTCACTGCACGCAATGAAATTTGTTTTTTCACCAGGAGCAGTTGGCGCTGTAGTCGTATGCTGACTTCGGGGCCAGGAGCCAACACGGTTCACGGATCACAGAACGACTAAGCTGATTCTTCGCAAGACCACATGACCACATGACTGACCTTCCAACTTGCAACTTCTTTGATTTCTAAACGAACTAAACTACCCAGTCTATTCCAGAGAATACAACTACTCGCTGCAACTTAGTCCACACTTCGGAAGAATATCCTTCCGCATGAAATTTCCATGATTTCGCGCGCCTCTCTCACGTCACGCAACCCCGCCTAGCAGTTTGCTTGTACCGGTTCTCACGGTCTCTTCGCTTGCGGATCTCTTATTTTTCCTTCTACCCTGAAGAAGGAGGCGATACGTTCCTCCGAAACGTCGGTTAACACCACATCTACACGGTGCCACATCCCAGAAGACTGATTTCTTCATAGTCACCGCCGTGAAAACCTCAAATCTTACATATTATCATGTTACTGGTAATATGTGGTTGCGTGTGCGTTATGAAATATGTTCTAATCATAAAATCTTGCTTATCTACTTGTGAGAACCACGAAAAGAAATTAATAATCAGACAAGGAACTGTATTCTTAGTACCTCATAAGCCGCACTGGTTCTACTTCGGCCAGCGATCATCTGAAATTACCCCAACGACGCGAATTTGTTGGCGCCAGGATTAAACTTTTCATGTAAATAATGGATGTGTGGTAACCCTAAAATAGCACTAAAATGATTCACATTTTATGTACGCAAGAGAGATGACGTTATTAATTGTTGACGCCATTTAACGCTTTCTCAACTGAACTGGACCTGCAGCATCCCACTTGACCAGACGCCAGGATCGAACCCGGGCCGCTGCGGTGGGAAGCTAGCGGCTAACCGTTTGAGCTATGGCGCGGTCTTTGTTGGAGATTAAGTAAGCTAGCAAATTTGGCATGGGCGCCACAGAGTTTTCCCGAATGGCTTTGGTGGAAGGGAGAGGCATCCAGAGAAAATGCATAAAAACTTATGTTCAGCCTTTAGCGACTAAGTTAATATCAGCTGACAGATACTCATAAGACAGAGAGAAAATAAAATACTGAAGAACAGGGACACCAGGTTAAGTGACATGGTGATAAATAAAAATGGGATGGGTGACCAGAAAATTTGACTCTGTCCTCCTGCTGCATAGTACACCAATAAGAAGAGACGTTTCGACAAACCGTTATACTGTATATATTAGCGACATTGGCCCTGCTGATGGAGACTGAGGAGCTCTCTGAAATGTTGGTTTTTAATTCAACGTTGACACAGCTGACCGCTGAAGAAAATTTTAGCACATTTATTCACAGTGAATGTTTCAAATCTTTTGTTAAGACAATTTCCACTCTTCACTCTGGAATATTCTGGGCGGAATACTTCTACATTCATAAAGCTTTCTTCTGAGTAATTTTCATGAAATGTTCATGAAATATACGAAGAGTCCATTGACATGTTAGCATTTGCATGACATTTTCCCAGTGCAACATCACAAAACATTCCAGCACTGAAATCAGCATTTTTTATGAATTAAGATAAGTCATTCAACTTAAGAACAATTCTCAGCAACCGAAGGCATGACAATACAGTTTTATTCTGCATTCTAATTGTGACTTTGTATATACTACCTTTATATTTTGGAGTAGCAATACTACAAAAAAGGTCATGGACAATATTGTCAGTATTACCATTTCTGAAAAAGGATATTTCCTTAATTTTAAGATTTCCCTTATTAACATATATAGATTTGCTTGAAGAACAGGGTTCGTAATGTAAAAAATATATGTTAAGGTACACTTTACAAAACAAAATCTTCCTTTATAACTTCTATGCAGCAGACACAGAAGGCAAGGTTGAAACAGTACAAGATTAGGACAAATATGCACTATCATAACATCTCTTTGTTTATATGATTGCCCTTCTTATATTATTACACATTTTATTGCTCTTCTTATGTAGCCCATCCTAAAAGAAGCAAGGAAGTGGCATTACAGATTAGCGGGTGGGGATAAGTTGAACACTTCTGGATTATCGCTTATGAATCTCACTAGTTTCAAACCAGTAATTGACCTAGGATGTGTGTATCCCAATATGCATTAACACACCTGTATCTTGAACACCAATTCCTTTTTAGATGGACACAATCACAGATATCTCAACATTTCTGTAACACAAAATAATAGATTTTCAATTACATTGGTACTTGAGAACACTGTGGGTCCCTTTCTTGAACACTCTGTGGAACATTTTTATCTCTACATCTGCCACTATTTCCCAGTTCACTAAGTGGAATCCCAAACTCTGCTGTGGCCCAAACATCACAGTTTGGGCTGTAACTCGAAGCACGAGGCTTCCAGTTACTGACACCTGCAGAAGCACTCGACGACCACACGCCTGTACTTGTGGCATCTTCTAAGGATCTGCATTTCCCTCCCATGTGGCTGTGACCACCAACAGTTTGTTTTGATACATGCAGATGGTGCCTAGCAAGGTATGAGGGATTGCTGCCAGATGCATTGACACTGTACCCAGTAGCAGCAGCAGCAGATGAACTGCTCCTGCGACGGTCCTCTAAAGCATTGAGGCTGCATGTGGGAACAATTCTGTGTGGGAATCGAGGAGAACCCTTTGCTCGTTCCCTGAATGACAGGATTGGCTGTGAATGCTGGTGCTGCATCACCTCCTTCTGCATAGAGGAGTAGCTGACTCTTCTTTCATCATTACCAAAATCCTTTTCCTCTTTGTGTGAAAGACACATACCTAGTGAGAACTTTCTTCGGTTTACACTGTTACCACCTCCATTTAAGCAGGTGTTCTCTTCAGGTTCATCATTGGATGTGACACTGATGATGGGACCACTTCCACCTCCCACTCTGCCACAGAAGCTTTTTAAAGGATGGAGTTCTTTAGAAGATGGTCCCCCACTCAGTCCATATTGGTTTAATGCCGCAATACTAGTGTTGCATGAAGAAGTCATGGCAGCCATGTTGCTGTTAGGAACCAGACCTGCCAAGTAACCCATGTGGACTCGAAGAGCTGATGCAATACCTCCTCCACTCGAAGTGCCAGAAAAAGAAGCTGCAGATGTTTTTCGACTTGAAGGTCGACTACCAAGGAAGTTCTTGAGACGACTAAAGACACCTGGTTTCCCTGAAGTTTCCGTATCACTATCCTGACTATCACAAATGATGTAGTATTCTTGTTCCTTGGCAGACTTCTCTGCAGTTTGTTTGGCCACTGAATCATCCAGCTTTGGCTCTGAGCTGAAAGTTACTTGACGACGCATGGGCAGATTTCCATGGTCTGCAGATGGCCAGCTAGCCCGTGGAATCACGGGAGGTAGCACTGATAGGAGCAACAAGGGAAGACCTCCCCCCACGATGGGTGAGGGGAGCATTTCCATCACATTGTATTTCCGGGAGGCTCCTCTCTCCTCAGGGGAAAGATCAGTCTGAAATTGTACAATATGAACAGGTAACACTGTAAATATTGATAAGTTCTTACTTTAACATCTGTCTGGTTTCACCTACAAAAGTTGCATAGAACTGGCCTGTGCACATGGTTTCATAATTACTAACGATCATAAAACTAAACCAGACAGCATGACATTGTGTGATTTATCTTGGCAAAAGAACTAATTATTTCAAGATTGTTTCTAAGTCACCCAGTATATTAATCATAAAATCTGAGGATTTATTAAAGATGATCTACTAACTAATCAAGAAATGGCGACCAGTACAATGTTATAAGGGAGGACAGAGTAACATTTGGTGTGCCTTATGTATAAAAGCAAGTTCTTTTTTTTTTTTGTACTTGTTTCCTTGCACTCACAGAGGACATAATTACTACTAGCATGTAATAGATGGCCACGAAGTAATATATACCTGTACATCTTCTACCATTATAAGAGCCAGGGATCTTATCTTATCTCTCTTCAATACAGTCTCCTTCATCTTCACTCCATGATGCTACAAGACCTATCATTTTCTGAATTATCTTCCAAATCCTTAGTCATATCCCCTTCACACTGGTGTTATGCATCTCCACTGTTATGTAGAAGCCATGGCCTTAATCTCAACACTGAACTACAGTTGGCCAAAAGAGGCTTTCATTTAATTGTGACATAAGTATTACTGTTTATAAATCACTATGTCAAGAGATGGTATTATACACAAGCTGTAAGTGACTAGTCCAAGGAAGCATGTAACTTCATCTACAAACTCTAGTTCTTTGTGAGGAGACAATTTATAAATGAACATTTTCAGACTGAGAAGAGTCTCAAACAATTATACTGACAAAGCTCTGACTTCATCCCCAGTTTCATGAAAATGGATGAGTATGTTCACAATTTATTAATTGGCAACAAGCTCATAAAATGGTTATGAATGATAAATATGTAAGAACTTCAAATGAGTAGGTCATGGCTTGTTTCAAGATATTCAGATGGTATTCATCTGGAATAATATGGAAACCATGACCAATATCAGTCAGAATATCTGGTAGCATGGCCAAGAGTAATTTGTGTACCTCCATAACACAACGATAAATAAATACCAGTATACCAAAATTTTCAGTCTCTAACACACACACTAACTACGTGGATTAAAGCCCATCTTTAAAACCTAGTAGTTGCTCAGATAGTAAGAAAATTTACAGACGTTAATGGAACTTTACAGTTCATTACCATGTTCACAAAAGGCTATCAATAAACCCAATCCTGTGCCAGATAAATCCCATCTATATCCTCAAACCCCATCTCCTTCAGAACTACTTCAGTGTTTTCTTCTAACACATTGTACATTTTTTCATCACTCCCATGTGTGCTTATCCCCCCCCCCCACACACACAAATTCCTCTCTTTTATTATAAAAGAAGAAAAAGAAATCTCACTCTCTCCTATTTATTTCTCTTTCCTTCTATGGAAAGTAGGCTTCTTCACATCAAACTCGCTACTACTAGAACTATTAACATCTGCTAGTAGAAGTGGGGGAATTACAGACATAATTACATGACTCACCTTCTTTGAAGCTGCTCCTTCAGACATAGAATCTGAAGATGCATTTGGTGACTCTATTAACTGCCGTTTCAAGCGACCAATTTCTAGGTCCAATGCTGCTATTTCTCTGCGATAGACTCGATTCTGAACTTCAACACGGTAATAAAGTTCTCTGCGATCATCAGTGACAAACCTAAAATTAATTCGTCTGAATTATTAAAAGTCTCATAAATGTGTTAAAATTGGAATAAAAGTTCTATATTAAATGGATGCCTAGATATATACAGAAATGTATTTATAATAAAATAAAATACAAATTTAAGTTATAAAATACACACAAAGAATGAAGTAAATTGTTGTTCGTTAAGTTTATGGCATTTGTCGTGCCTAAATATTGTTATATATAGACACCATTTATGTTGGTGTCCAGTATAGCTATTATAAAGTTATAAAATGGTTATGACAACACCATCTGGTGTGACTCAGTATATAAATATGTACTGAATCACACTGGATTGTGTTTTCTTGTTCATTTTATAATAATTAAGTAGTGTGAAGGAACAGAGTGAATAATGTTAAAAATAATGTTATAATATGTATGTCCTGAGTCAGATGAGTCCAGTCCATAGTACCCCATTCTATTTCTACAAGATCCATCATAATATTATCCCTTGTTATGTACTTATATATAACAGAAAAACAATAATCTCAACTGAAACTCGATGTAATTAGAAAACCTGTTTACCAGTATTGGCCAAAGCAATGGAGGGAGACTCAACAGGCCCTGCTCAATAAGCTTAATCAGCCCAATGGTAAGGAAACTATTGGATCTTGCTGCTGTACACACTGTAGCACCTACAAACTGTCTGAAAGCTCACCTTCTAGTGTTATACTCTATTTTGAGGCCCATGCTGTGCATTATAGGGTCCCCATTGTCATCAGCATGCCCAAAAATGGCATGCAGCTTGGGTAAGAAGAGAAGGCAGAGCGTAGCAGTTGTGGATGTCAGGATAAGTGTTGTGATTGTGACGAACGCCAGGGTGGCCCGCTCTGAGATAAGGTTAGCTAGCACAACAACAATGGCACTGGTGATTACCACGCTGTATACACTCATGCCAATATATTGTGAGTCATTGAGAGCTGGAATTTTCACATGCCTGAAAATAATTCCAAAAATATAATTAATTTATAAAGTAACTTTTTTTCAGAGATATTAATGTGGTATGTCATTTCCAAAATGATCTCTCCATGCCACTCTTTGCCTTAATGTCACTGTATTTAGATGCAGGCATATTAACAATTTTATCTCTTTCAAAAAATTAACAACAATTGTAAACACACTCTATTTCTTGCTTGCTTTTTCAGTTCACTCTTCAACCCTGAAGATGGATGGAGTAATGTTGGTAAACTTCTACCATATCACATGGCATTACATTCTAGAAGACAGTACACATAGATTTAAACTGTAATTTTGTGGGTTAGGGTACTCTGCAACCCAGCAGGTACAGGATCCAGAAATCGATGCAGCACATTCCTACAAAAAACTGTCAACTACTTACCAGACTGCGTGTGTCAAATTCCACAAGACCACAACCTAAATATTCACCAATATGAAAATATCAAATTCATATACAATGTTCATTTTTACTTAATATATTACATGAATATGCATTTTAGAATTTGTCAAAAATGTAAACTATTGAGAAAAGGATAGGAACACAGGAGAAACTGGCAGACACTGAGGATCCATTCATGGTGCTCTGTAGCACTCCTTGTGTGTAGCATATCACAGTTTGTACAGTGTACTAACCTTGTTTCCCAGGCCATGTACACTCCAACTATAAGCAATAGTCCCTTGTAGCCATAGAGTGCACCCAGCCAGCCATGGGTATACTGTGAACGGCACACCTCCACCTGAAACCATTTTGCCACTCATTTAATTAAATACAATTAAGACATTTGTGACAAAAATAATTTAAAATATTTCATTTTTACTTTATTGCTTTACTTAACCATGTAGGGAATCACTTGATCAAGAAACTACCTGCCCCTTTGTAACCATAATGTTCAACACTGTGTTCACAGAAGCCTCCAACTGGATAACATTTTGAGCCAATTTGAGTTCTTATTTTTATATATTATATACTGTGTTTTCTTTTAAATTATCTTAATACATTTTTTACTTTATATTATTATTTATGTTTTGATTATATGACTCATGTAATTTTGTATATGTATCTGGATATATCTATTTTCAAAGGTTTGTTACCTGTATGGATATATGGAAAATAAAGGAAATGAAATGAAATAAAATGAAATGTCTGTTGAAAGACGGAACTGAAAACCAGCAAAGACAGCCGTTGCTAGGCAGCGACTCAGTAGTCATCATATGATAGCCACAACAGACATGCACACATCAACAGAAGAGCTGTTAGAAACGATGTTTTCTGTGTGGTTCATGCTGAGGCTGCATAACTAGGCCCAGCTGCCATTACCAGTCAGTGAAGAGAGAGTCAGCAGACAGACAATCGGTTTAGAGTCACAGAAGTTGGTAGCTGAGGCCAGTGACACTTTAGGAACCCAGAGGAAGGGGAATGTCTACCTCTGAAAGCCATTATCAAGCAGTGCAGTGAAGATTGTGACTGAGAACACTAGTCTGGGTGTGATAGTGATTGTAAAGTGTAGTCTTGAGCTATGTGTTAAAGTGCTTAATAAATCCAATTACCAAAACAAACCCCACCTGTAGTCACTCTATCATATGACAATATCAAGGATTCATTTCAGTATCAGTCAAGTGCAAAAATATTTTGTATCGTGTGTGGTGATTTCCAAAGTGGCTTCTTCTCTCGAGATTTTTTTAAGTAAGAGCTTGTATACATTTCTTGTGTCCCCCATTTGTTCCACATGTATCTTCCATCCCCTTCATATGTGAATATTTGGTGTTCGTGACCTGTTACAGACTTCAGACGTCTCAGAACTAGTCATCTACACCCAGGTCTCTCTCCACTGATCTTGTTCGTTGAACACATGAATATTGTGAAAAGATGGCTGGAAGCTGGAATAGTGGAATGAATAGATGCTGCCACTGCTAGGCAACGGCATGGTAAACACATTTCCACTGCAATTTATAATGACACAAAATAGAGGACATGGTGTCTTCTAGGCAGTCCAAGCTGAGGTCATGTAACGAGGACCAACTGTTACAACCCAGTTAGTGGAGAGGCATCTGAAAACTTCCAGATCCATCAGAGGATAAAATATGGTCATAAGTCCCATAGGATTTGGAACCAAGAATCATTGGGTCGGTGAGGGTTAGCATCATTTTAGCAGTCAGTGAGTCAAGCCAGTTGGTTGGCCGCGCCATAGCTCAAGCGGTTAGTCGCTGGCTTCCCACCATGGCGGCCCGGGTTCGATCCCGGGTCTGGTCAAGTTGGATTTATGGTGGACAAAGTGACGCTGGGCAGGTTTTCTCCAAGTACTTCGTTTTCCCCTGCCAATTTTCATTCCACCAATTGCTCCACAATCAATCTCACCTATCATCTGGGGCTGGTACAATAGGCCAGAAGTGGCCGCAGTACAAGGGGCTTAGTCCCACCCCACTAGCAATAAAAAAAACAGTTAGTTGACAGTCAGTCAGAGGTCATAGTTGGCAGATAACAGTCTTTGAGTTGCACTGTTAGTAACCATTCCTGGGTAACTGCTAATGAATATACAGAAGACTTTATGTTTGCTGTAGTTTCAGTTATTTAGAATATGTAAATCAGTGAGACTGTTATAATAGTTTGTTGTTACAAGTTTTGCCGATTATAGTGGCTGTGTGGTCTAAGGCATGAACTGTCTTCACACACTCAAACACTGGGCTCGTAAGTTAGCATCCCATTTCTGTGTTTGTGCTATACTATGTGCAGGTAGCGGCCTTGTGATGGGCCAATTTTCTGATCAAGGAGTCCTACCAACTGTGTAAAAGATAAATTCCAAAATTTCTGCTGCTTATATTGTACCTGGGGCTGGTAGACAACACTGCGATCAGAGGCGCTGATTTCCAGTGTTAGGTTCCGTAAGTGGCGCTGGATTGGATCGATAATCACCCAAAGTGTAACAATCAAGCCATCAATTAAGAGTAGAACACAGATCAATGATATCAGCTGTGTGTCTTGAAGAAGCTAAAACAGAGAAGCATATTGATAACTGAAAATTACTCATAGGTATTATTCATGCAGTGATGGAACCTGTGAAATAAAAAAATACCTATTCAGATGCAATTTCACCTGTGATCTAATTTCAAAGATGTTCACTGTGAACAGATTTGGATGTGATTTCATCTAGAAGTGCCTTAGAAATACAAGCCTAAAATGCTTAAATATAATATTCGAAAATTATTATTTTGTTCCATTTGATTCTGTTCGCTAATTTAATTGACATTCTAATTTAAATAACACAAAAACAATTGGAAGAAGTTCATGAGAACCTGCGTGAAGCTGAAGAATCTCAACTGTTAGAAGCTGTTGCCAGGGAATGGCTGGTGGAGACACAGAAGGCTGGAAAAGACTTAATGAGTGCTGTGGTGATTTGTGAATTGTGGAGATAAACAGTGACTGTACTTACTTGTAACTACGAGTGAGTGGCTAAGTGATCAATAAATCCATTCACCAATCTAAACCCATCTATAGTCTCCCCTACACATGACAACATCTATTGTTAGGACTGACCTGTCTGCTTACCCAATATCTGAATTTGAATTCTTCATTTATTTTTTAATAATTAATAATTATCGTATTTGTAAATTTTCAGGAAGAAGGTTTGACTTAATATTTCAGTGTTATAACTAAATCATAATTGTTATATCTCAATGAAGCACTAAAAGTGTATTCTATTCATCACAGCCATTTATATATAACTAATGTTTCAGAAACTATATTGTTATTTTTATTAAAGTGTATACTTACTTAAAGTTGAATTGTAACAATGAGTTATAAACTCTAGCACAAAGAGAGACTGCAGCAATATGTGCATACACAGGGTGGCAGTGCTTGTGCAGGTGAACCTCCCAAGTAATCATACATGCATTAGCTTTGTTACATGCATATACATACATACATCAGCATTTCAGAGTATTCATAAGTGTGCAGCTGGCACTGAATATAAAACTTGTCAAACAACAGTCACAAGACAATCACAGATAAAATCGCAGAGACAGCAATTCAACCATAGCGCAGTAGGTACAGAAACTGGCAACTGGCTGGACGGGTGTGGGGTCAGAGCTTAAATCCCAGGAATGGAAGGATTTGTTTCCTCTCCACCTCATTCGAACAGGTTACGGGGACCATCCAGCCTCTTATCCTATGGGTAGGGGTGCTCTTTCCCCAGGACTAAAGCTACGAAGGCCTGAAGCTGAACACTCACAACTAGTGCTGAGGTCAAGAATATGTTGATCTATGCATCCACTCTTTCATATGTCTTCATGGTGTAGTGCTTAATTAGTTACACACAGGAACAACTGTGCTTTCTTATTTTTATGTATCAACTATAAACATTATAACTGAATGATAAACATTGATACTATTACAGTGTTTTGGAATGGATGTGGAACAAAGCAGCCATTTTTGTATCTACATCCACCACCCCATTTCTTCCTACCCTTTAGCCTCTTCTCTCAGTTACCCCATATTCATTTATTGTCCTTTACATTTGTCCAGCATATTACCTTTCTCTCCCTTTCTTTCATCCCTTTCCTTTACGCCAAAGAGTTCAGGTAAATATCACTCAAAACATTTTGTTACATGACAAAAACACCAAAAATATCAGCCGTGCTATGTACTACATTATTTCAATGTTTTCTCAAGGTCCAGATCCTCTGTGAGTACAAGCAAAAATACATAATCTTGTTGCCTTTAGTAAGAATAGAAGTAAAATCACATACATGTGTTATTGAATGATGCATCAAGGACATGTGACAATTAATGCCATCCTGTCAAACACTTGTTGTGAGTGCAAGTAAGCAAACATCACAACTGTCTTTTTTATATATATTATAAGATGTTCGATGTTCTACACAATGAAGGCTGGTTTCCAGCAGAAAAGACAAAACAGCACAGGGACATGCTTGTATATGCATGTATACACCAATAATCTGCTAACCTTGTTCTTAACAACTCCACTGTGGCTTCGTGTGAAGATGCGATGCACTCTGTAAGTCTTGGTGAACATGGAGCCAAATGCCAGAGAGAAGCCAGCTGAGAGAAGGTATACCCTTGCCTGGTAAATAAAATTGAACACTTGTTATAAAAATCACAAGGAAGGCTGGTGTAGTAGTAATAATCTAGTCTTTTATATTGGAGGTACCCAGTTTGAAGCTCAGTCAAATTACCAACTATTCTGACTCAGGTTTTGAAGTTAATTCATTGTCTGCTGCTTTTCATCCTATTCATTTACCTCTTTGTTTTCCTTATCTGTTTCCTTGGGGAAGTTTGATACTCTTTGGTTGAATGTTGATAATCTCATAAAATATGCAATAACTGCACAATCCAAATCCTTGTCTATTCAACATTCATGAACATTTTATAATCTCATTCAAAGCTAAATATTTCAGATGCTGAAACTGTGTTAATGAATAAATAATAACAAATGTATGATGTGCTGAAACCACCTTTTGTTTGGAGTTGTATGTGATGGAAAGAAAACAGAAAATTATTACAAACATTTTACCATGGGCCAGGATAATATAACATCTTCATATTTACTTCTTCACAATTAAACAATTTTTATCTTGAAGAGTTCTATCTTCTGTGACTTAACTTTGTGTAGACCAATGGAAATCAACCCACACTGCTCTGTCACACTGATTCATTTTCAATGGACTATAAGTAGTTGAATCCCAGAAGACAGAACTCTACAAAGCCACCACTTTAAGAACCTCAAGTTCTGCAATTTTTATTTTGAAATTACTAATATGTCTGTAACTATATATATATATATATGCATCATTTAGTTGGTTAGTTGAGTACTTGGCACTTACTGTGCAAACAGCTGAGAAATGTGTGTTTGTTGGTAGAGTGGCATGGTCCAGACCAAGAAGAATGACAGCTGTGTACACTAGAATGCAGCCCACCACAGCAATGTTGTTCAGCCGTGGAGATGACAGTTTGATGTATCTGCACATTTTGACACATATTTCTTCAGTGCCTGTGGATTTTTCAGGGAGTCTGTCCCACTTGGTTTCATGTGATTACAAGATTATCAGTTCTAAAAAATTAATACACAATTTGGGGGAGGAGGAGTTAGTTAGCTAATTAAGTACTTGTAACTCTCTGGTAATAAAATAGCCTGTCCGGAGAATATGAAATCCCACTATAGAATAAGATCATGATCTTGATCGATCTAGTTTACATCCTTAAAATCTACTTATAACTTGGTCTTCAAGTGGTTTCGTTGGTTTTCTCCATCCAAGCTACGTGTATATGTCTAGCTAATGTCTCTTACATATAACTATCCCCTCATAGTTATGACAAAAGATACATATGTATTTAAGCACAGTATTATGAAAGTAAAATGTATATGCTAGAAGGAAATAAAGATCCAGTGATTCAGAGTTAATGGAAGTAGCTGGCTGCTTCATTCCCATGGACATAATCTCATCGATAAACCCACTGAAGAGGAGGGGGGCCAAGAGTCTTTCCATAAATGGTGAAAGGCAAAATTCCAGTAACCTTCCTGGGTTATATCTAGCCCACAGCCCACAAATTCACTATCTGTGTTGTTAAGGCTCAATCTAATGCTGCAGTACTTATACTGCTTACAGGAAAGTTGAAAAAAATCGTAATATATAATTTGTTTTATTCACATACTGACTTTTTTAATTATTGGAACAGGATTGGGCAATACATTACTTAAAGCAGGTGAACAGAATTCTTATATCATGACTCTATGACAATTGTGTTACATATAGTTATACATATACATAACTAGAAAGATATAAGTTGTAATGTAGATTATTTAATGTCTTCTTATCTCTTATTATGCTATTTACTAATTATAAATCCTCCCATTATTTTATTCCTGATGTTTGTACATATAACTATTTTATGTATATCACTTGATATGAATGCTGTATATTTTAAGTATATTTTGCCTTCTTGTCTTTGTATTTCTGTTGTTATTATTTTATGGTAAATTGTGTGTGTTTTTAGAAGTTTTATATTCCGTTGCTGAAAAGCACGTTTATGAATCCCACAAAATGCAATTTTTGTGTGTGAGCATGCATGTGCGTGCCTTGTGTGTGTGTGTATTTGTGTATGCTGGTATTGTATTATTTCTTACTCTCCCTTGACACTACAGCCTCTCTGTGTAGAGCCTCCTGGTTACATAGGATTTCTTATTCAGAACACTGGCAGATTTCCTTGGAGAGCATATCATGTCACTGCTGGGCCTGTACTATCACAGGTTAACACAAGAAATTTTAAATAAACATCCATGCCATGAGCGGGATTAAAAGCAGATGTTCCTATATTTAAGACTAAGACTGCACACTTTGGACTGCATGCTCACCAGGGGTCAGTTGACACTGCCACCTCAATATTTACATCCTACAACACAGTTTCCTAACTGTTCTAACAGTGCAGCTTGGATTACATATTCTTCTAATAATTTTTCTCACTTTATTCGTATAATACACGAATGAATGAATGTATAAGGGATGGGCCTTCTCAGCCCTTGCACTGTGACCTACAGTGATCTATTGTGCTTTATATAATACATGATGTGCATCTCATAACCTCCAGTCTAGTATCACATATGAAAAGCCAAATATATTAATATTTACAAATTATTTAAAAAATTTGTTAATCTACAGTTTTATGAGTGTAATGACTTCCTCAAAGTTGATGTTCCTGAGATGCACCCAGTTACTGAGATGATGCTGTCAAGGACCTAGTGCCAACCTTTTTACTGACCTTCTTCTAACAATAAATTAAGACTTACAGGATGTGGATTCCTCACTACTGATTTAAAAACTCATATGTTCCTGCAGAGAGACAGTCTCAGTAGTATAAATGTAGGAGAAGTCTCACTTGAGCTTGCGGAAGTGCAGATTGAATGCCAAAAAGGCAAATGCTAGAGTGATACCGATGAGCGCCAGACAGGTAATGCTGAGAAAGGCTGCAGGCTCAATGGTGACCACCCGTAGTTTGCATACCCGCTTGTCAATGGGCACCTGACCCCCTTGCCATACCAAGGGTCTGCAGTCAGGGCATGTGTAGTCCATGTGGTCAGAGGATGGGTGAAAGAGGGCGACTTTTGATACTTCACCACCTGCAGCATAGAAATAAGATAAATTAGAAGAAGACAGATTGCCACCTTAATCGGTGAAGGCTTGGGTAGTAGTGGGTTGAGTTGTATGCATGGATCATGTGAACCCAGGTTGCAGAGGAGGTAAAAATATGTAGGTCGTACCGAAAGTCATGAGCAAATTTTTTTGCGTGCAACCTGGGAACAGCAGATGAAAGAGAGTATGGTGGTAGGTGGAACCATCTGTTGTGTTAACCTTGAGTGTACTGTGACATCAATAGCTTGCATCACGAGACCAGTATCACTCCTAACAAAATGGCCAACAATGATATGTCGTTTTGCCAGTGTGCTGTCATCGAATTTATTGTGAAAGAGGAAATCCCCGCTGCAGAAATTCACCAGAGACTTCAGCGTGCTTATGGAAGTGTGTGCATGGGTGCAAGCAGTGTTCGAAGATAGGTGAAACATTTTAAAGATGGGAACACCAGCATCGAAGATGAGTCTCGGAGCAGTCGTCCTCGAACAGCCTCAACTGAACGCAACAAGGAAAGAGCAGATGAGATCACTGATGATGACAGGCGTGTGACTGTGGACACAATAGCCCAAAAACTTGGAATAGGGCACAGTGCAGTACAGGAGATGATTGCAAGCTTGGGCTATAGGAAAGATTGTGCTCGTTGGGTCCCATGGTTATTGACCGAAGACCACAGAGGTCAGCAAAAAGCCTTCACCCCTGAACTGCTGCAGAGATATCAACACGAAGGCAATGATTTTTTGCTCTGTATTTTGACAAGTGTGAAAGCTGATTTCACCATTTCGAGCCTGAAACAAAACAGCAGAGTATAGAATGGCACCATTTGCATTCTCCATCAAAAAAGAAGGCAAAGACAGTGCCATCAGCTGCAAAGGTGATGGGCACAGTCTTCTGGGATGCAGAGGGGTTTATTCTGGCCGAATTCCTGGAACCTGGGCAA